AGTAGACTAAGACCACTTGGGGTTTCCCGTGTCATTTGGGTATAAGACCTTGGAGGGTTTTCATGCCATCCTAGTGGGAGCCAATCTCAATGGACTTCATCATGAAACTACTCTCAGATTTATTGTAACCCCAAAAAAATACCTGAGTAGAAGTGGAAGCCAATCTTAATGGACTTCATCATGAAACTACCTAGAACGCCTAGTGTTTTTAATATTACTTAAGTAGTCATCGATAGAAAAAAGTTTGCCAACTTCATGCCAATCAAAGAAATGAAAAATCTAACCATGACTTATATGAAGGAGATCATCACACCACATGAGGTACCGATTTTTATTTTCTTGGATAGAGATAGTAGATTCACCTCACGATATTCACAATCAGTACAAAAATCTTCAGAGATGCGCCCACAACTTACCATTCTCTAAATAGCCATAACTTTTTAAAGATGCCCCGACTACAAGTGAAGTTTCGGGAATAAATTTATTTAATGGGGGGAGAATGTAACAAACAGAAAAAAGTTGGTCAATGTTCTCCAGTTAAACCACCGCAAACCCGATGGGTTTTATAGGTTACAACAAAAATGCACAAAGCGGAAAATACTTAACCATTAAGAATTTGGGTACATGCAGCCTAAAGGATCTATGTCTTTAACATAAAGACAACATAATTTGAATTAACAAAATTACTATAATCCTAATGAAATCAAAATTCATAAGAGAAGGTTACATACCTTTTGATTTGTTATTGCAAACAAATCAAACCAATCCTTCTTCAAAACTCTTAGAAGCAAGGACCAAAAATCTCGTGCCTCTCATGGCACACACCCAAACCCTAGCAACTAAGAAACTTGAATAGAGAGGAGAGGGGAGGTATAATTTCGTTTATCCTTTAAAGAGATCCGATGGCCGAAAAAAATGAAGGGGTGAAGGCCTATTTATAGCTGATAGGAAAACCTTAGATAACCCTTACATGATTAAAATAGTAATATTTCAAATCAGGTAATTATCTTGTTTCCTAATTATTTTCAAGGGATATTCTAGAATACCTTGAATATTCCCCAAACTCGTCCACCTCCCATGGGGAAGGTTCTGTAACCTTTTTATCCATCTATTGAGCAGTTACAACTTAGGTCCTTGCACTTTTAATTAATCTAATTAATCCCAAAATCAATTTTAATTAATTTCTAATTAATTCTTAATTAAATAATATTATTTCTAACTAATATATTATTCTCATAATAGATTAACAAATCATCTGCTACTATTTATTAATCACATAATAAATCAATAAATCTCTCTCTCTCTCTATCTCTATCTCTCTCTCTCTCTCTCTCTCTGAGGGAAACCCAAAAGGACTTTACTAATAATTCAAGTATATACCAATTTAGTTATT